TCTATAAGAAATTAAATAAAAAATATTTTAAAACTATATCATTTTCATAAATATTTATTAAAAATAAGTAAAATAACTTACTTTTTAAAACAAAAGTAATACTACTATTTTAATTTTTTTCATAATGTTTTATTAAAATTACATAATTTTAAAATATTTTTATCTAATATTTTACAAATCTAATTAATCTACATTTTTTCAATAATTTTATTCATAAAAACTTTTTAAAGTAATTTTAATACATAAATTATACCTTATTTGTGGGAAAATAAACTGTACCTTTACCGGACAGTCCCACATAAAAACACGATACTGTTAATTATACTAATAAAAAAAGAAAATTATAATTAAAAAAAAAAAAACCCGTAGCGTGAGGAGTGAGAGTTACATAAAGGTGAAAGGGGAGGCAGAGGAGAAGAGGAAGAAGAGATTGGCATAACACTGATTGTTAAGGTAGAAGATTTGGGGATTTGATGCTGCCACAGTTTCTCTGAAGATCTGAGGATTCTATGTCGAGCGAGAGAGTCCCCGTCGAACTCTGCAAGGGCGTTAACGGCCTCGAAAAGGTCATCCTCCGCGACGTACGAGGCAGCTCCGCCGAGGTAACCTTTCCGATACACCTTCGTCTTATCTTCACCTTCCACCGCTAAATTTTCCATGATTTCTGCATATTCTTGCATTTGAATTTTGAACTCGGATTTGATCTGTAAGCTTCACCAAGTAAATGCTCGAGAAATGGAGCCATTCGTCACTAACTTGATCTTCCTCCGCGTTTCTCTTTTTAATTTGCCTTTTTGGCCTGTCAACATAGTTTGATTACCATAGATTAGCTCAGATTTGAGTGTTTATGCAGCCTGTTTTTCTTTTATTTATTTAGAAATCTAAATCTAGACATCGATTTTTTATGTGCTGATATTCCTTGAGAGAAAGCTATGCAACAGAGATCGTAAACATGTTAATTCATGAATTTTATGCTATAGTGTCACGGTTAATGGAGTTCTTGATTCAAGAATCTGTTGAACTCTAACTACTACTTTTATGACTTTTTCGTCCTTGGAATATAGTTGCTTTTTACTTAAGCTGTTCTGTTGCATAATTAGTACCTTGGGGTATATTTTTTATTGAATCTCTATTTTAACAAGTTGTTAATGATAAGTTGCAGAACTAATTCTCCAAGTGCTTTTGCCTGATTATAGCTTCGTCATATTTTCTATGTTGGTGCTTATTTGGTTAATTTGAAATGATAGTTGATGCATCTATTGGTCTTTAATTCTTCTCACATTATTTTCCCCTTTTTTGTCTTGCTTCGTTGCCTGTAGGTTATTCTTTTGCAGCTTGATATTTATTTGTATATTGGATTTTCCAGGTTTACTTGTATGGAGGACACGTGACATCTTGGAAGAATGACCATGGGGAAGAGTTGCTTTTTGTTAGTAGTAAGGTGCAATGAACACTTTTGATAATCTGTTTACCACATACTTGTGGATGACTTTGGGGAAAAATAGCTTTTTTCAGTAATAAGGTGCTATTATATTTTTCCATTTAGAAGTCCTTCTGACTTCTAAGTCGATGGAATCTACTTATTAATTGCATTCTATTTCCCTTTCAAGTGAAATTCTCATACCCTTGTGTGTACAAGATCATGCCTCTTATCATTTCCATGAAAAAATGGTGCTGTAAAATGCCCTGTACAATTTCTCACAGTGATTTATGCTCTCTCTTGTCTTAGGTACTTGTGTGGATATGAGCAAGAATATTTTTGTTGGGTTGCATATTTAATGCATGCTTTTCTTCTTATCTTTTTGTTAAGCATTTTCCCTTTATTTAGTTACATCTACACTTACTTTTATACCTTATTGTTGGACATCAAGAGGCTAAATATTTCCCTCCAAGTTTCTCATGCATGCTTGATTGATAATACAATACTTATATTGCCCCCAAATTGGCATGTAACTGAAAATTAGTACGTTATTGTACACTTCAGGCAATCTTCAAGCCACCAAAAGCAATTCGTGGAGGAATTCCAATATGCTTCCCTCAAGTATGTGCTTCCAATATAAAATTCTTTATTGTTTTAGTTTTATTTTGCTCATCTTGGTAACTAAACTTCTCCTTGTATGCAGTTTTCAAATCTTGGGTCTCTTGAGCAGCATGGATTTGCTAGAAACAAGTTTTGGAGCATTGACACTGATCCACCTCCTCTTTCAACAAGTTCGTCCAGCAAGGTCCATATTGATTTGATCCTGCGGCCCTCTGACGAAGATATGAAGATCTGGCTCAACAGGTTAAATACTTGAAATATTTTTCACTTTCTAGAGACAGTGAGATAGGTACTTCTTTTGTCTATTTAGAAATCTTTATATTTATTCAGATCTATTTTCCTTTTCAGTTATGAGTTCCGTCTGAGGATAGCTTTGGGACCTGGAGGAGATCTTACCTTGACATCTCGAGTCAGGAATACCAATACTGATGGAAGGCCATTTAGATTCACATTTGCATACCACACCTATTTCTCTGTTTCTGACATCAGGTAATCAATTATCTGCTTTCTATTATTGTGTCTGAGTAAAATTATTTCTTAGAGGAAGTAATACTGTTGTGTTGCTTTTTATGCAGTCTATTGCCTGCTTTTCATTTTTGATTGCTGTGTCTTTTGGACTCCCAACCAATCCTGGAGTTGAACAGGGCGGGACCGTAGCTAAGGGGGGTTTTCAGGGGGTAGTGGGTCCCCACTAAGTGTATCAAGTGAGTGAACCACTGGTGTGGGACACAAATGATAGGAGCTAGACAACTAAAAAACTAGAGTGAGGTCCAAATTTGTCATGTAGAGTAGGTTTTCAAATAAAATAGTATCTAATGCCTAGTTTGGAGGTTTCTTTGCCCATATCTGTTTCAATATGGTTCTTGTGGTATACCATCTTCCTCTGAGTGGAAATTTCATTCCTTTATAAAAGGATACAGGGAGTCAAGACCTTTGTTTATTTATTTTTATTTCGTTGATCATTTCTTGGTTGTTTCCCTTTGATTGGATGGTGAAGAGTTGATTTCATAAGATTTCAGAAGCATGAGGCCGTTCCTCTCATCTCGCCATATTTTTATGAGTGGAAGATTGTGAAAAATTTTTTTCCTGACCAATGAGTTTGTGATACTTCTAATTGTTGTATGTATTTCTGTTTCTGATAGATAACAATAAGCTAGTGGATCTTCTAGGTCAATGTCCAGTTGCTTTGTTGTTGAGCAGTATAGAATAATCAGGACTTAACTTCAAAATGGCCTTTGATCACCACCCAGATTTTTGTGAATCTGAGTTCTTTCCACTATCTAGACAATATTGGGTGGGGGGCAGTCGGGCATGGAGGTTTATTAAAGTTGCTAATAACTCGCAACCACCTTAAAGTTTGATAATATAACTACTTAAATACAAGACTAAGTGCTTACATTGCTGTTGTTTATGCTTCTTTCTTTTTTTTTTTTTACCCTTCTACTGCTAAAACTACTTGGTGCTCATGGTGATCCGAGGTGATGCATCTTTGAGCTTATAAATGCTGCTTTCTAAAATGGCTTAGTTGCTTGTGTTCAGTGAAGTTCGTGTTGAAGGATTAGAGACGCATGATTATCTGGATAATTTACAGAATAGGGAGCGCTTCACTGAGCAGGGAGATGCAATAACATTTGAATCAGAAGTAGGTTCATTTTACCATTTATCTCATGCATGGACTGTTTTTATTCTTTTGCTTATTTAGTTGTGGTTAAACAGGTTGATAAGATATACCTCAGCACTCCTACTAAAATTGCTATTTTGGACCATGAAAAGAAGAGAACATTCGTAATACGCAAAGATGGACTTCCAGATGCTGGTGTGCCCATATACTTTCTTATTAATGTTCTTGCTATTCGTATAGGGAGAGAGGGAGGGGACAGAGGGCTTGGATTAAAGCTTTCTGGATTCAAGTGATAAAACACTCTCATATATCCCTTGTCATAACTTTAAATGTATGTCATCATATATTTGGCTGCATTAGTGAATAGATCTATTTAGTCTCTTTTCTTAATTCTATGTACACTGAAGCTAATCACAGGCATGTGCTTTACATCTACTTGATATGAAAGTCATTAATTTCTTGAGAATGACTGTGGGAAGAATAAGATTGGAAAATTTTTGGATAGGAGTAAGCTTGGAAGATTATGCTTGTGAACTAATTTTTCTTCTAAGACTATTATTGTATGAAGGTTGTTGCAGAGTCATCTGAAATTCTTCTATTCTTCTATTCTTCTTTTCTGCAGTGGTATGGAATCCCTGGGACAAAAAGGCCAAAGCTATGGCTGATTTTGTAGATGATGATTACAAACATATGCTGTGTGTGGAGGCTGCTGCAATTGAGAAACCCATCACACTAAAACCTGGTGAGGAATGGAGAGGAATACAGGAACTTTCTGCTGTTCCTTCCAGTTACTGTAGTGGGCAACTAGATCCTCAGAGAGTTCTGCAGGGCAGCTGAAAGAATAAAGATCCATCATTCTGTTCTATATTATGTACAGGTAATTTGATCAAATGTTAATAGCAAGCACTCAAAATTCTCCTTAATTTGTTTCATGCTGTCCTTTCTTTGCGTCTGATTTAAATAATGCACCAAGTCTACACAACTAGAATATCTGTTCAAGGTTTAGTTTATGATTCTTATACATTTTCAATTTTTCAATGATTTTTGTTGGAAAACTTTTTGAATCATAAAGTAGTAAGAAAAAAATCTGCAGATAAAATTCTTATTTCAACCTTGTACATATCTTGTTACTCATCCTTCAGTATTTTCTAAATAATAATGGTAGCAACTGACAACCACTCAAAATGAGATGCTCTGTAAACTGGATCCATAAATATTGCTCTAACTAAATGCCTTACATTTCAAAAACCAAACCTCAGTCTCTGAAGGTTTTCTATTTTATTTCCTTCTGTGCATATCTGATAACTAGCTTGAAATCCATGGATTAATAATCAGAGTAGAGAAATTCCGTCCTTAAGTTATATGTTCCATCCCGATGTACACGCTAGGTTTTTTCTTTTGTCAGAAGTGTTAATAAAATATATTAACAAACTCTATTTTACAGGTATGTTTATGCACCATCCGGATGGATTGTAACAAGTGAATTCTGGCCACCATTTTTAATTGGTGGCTTCTGGAATTTTCCTTTGTTGAAGGATGGATTCATGTGTAGCTTTGGACTAGTTAAATAATGTTGCATCTTCTAAAGATATGACTTTCTCGACCAAAAATTCTGTCCAAGTGGATGACTGTTTAAGGCTATGTTGGTTGTTGAGTCATCTAAACAAAAGGATAGATAGAGGTCAATGATTTCTACTGCTATGGCGGTGGATGTGATCTTTTTTGCGTCCTATCTCCCCATAAACAGTTTGCTTATTGAATGCGCGAAAAGGGCTATATTAATGTTCCTTTCCTAGCTGCAATTGAAGGTTATAGCTATTCTGAGCTGTAAAAGAGCCAGGCAGCTGCCTGAACAAGTTTGTATTTTGCCCTGTATGAATCTTACTAAGTTGAAATTCAGGGCTCTGTATATGCTTCGATGTTTGATCTACATTGGTGGTTTTTAGGTCATAATCAGGGACGGACCCAATGAAGGACAAGGTGGGGACGGAGGCGCCGCGGAGAGGAGCAGCTGCCCCCCTAGACTTTTAAAAAACATTTAATATGGTATCCTAACTTTTATTTCTTAAAAATTTTGTTTTTAAAGTATGAATTTTAATAATCATTTTAAGCGTAGAGAGAATATTTAGAATTTAAATATAGAATTTTCAAAAAATAAGAATATGATTTAAAATGAAATGAACTTTATATTAATTTAATTAATTCGGAATTGAAGTTCTTAAATATTTCTTCATCTATTAAGCCTAAATAAAATAAAAAAAAACTTTAATTCTTTATTTAAACAACTTTAAATTTATAATTTTTTTTTAGTAATTTTTTATCTTTCTTAATATTCTATATAACGATTTAAAGTTTCTATTTATTTGGTATCATTATAAGTTTTTACTTTTTGTGATTGAATTTATAATTATATTTTTTTGTGTTAAATCAATTTAAATTAAATTTCACTTTTCAAAAGAAATGTTCTAACATTTTTTTTTTATAATATTAGTATTTATTAACATAAACTCCAAAAAATAAAAAGGAAAAACACTTCAAAATTATGTTATTTCAATAAAATTAAAATGTTTTCATTCTTACTTTAAAAGTATATTGTTTTTATCTTTTTCAATATAAGTTTATTGAAATAATATAATCTTTTAGTGTTTTTTTTTCTTTTTTTTAGAGATTTAACTAACAAACATGTTTCTTTTTTTATTTATTTTTCAATTGATTATTACACGATTTATTATTATGATATTTTGTCTTTTATTTTGATAGATACGTTTATATTATTTTAGAATATATCAATGAAAAAGACTAATAAAAAACGATTTTCAAAAAAATAAATTAATGTCTTACAAAAATACTTAAAAGCTCAAATTTTCTACAATAATTCCCGCCCTCCTAATCGAATTTCCTAGCTCCATCCTTGGTCATAATCCCCTTATCAAATCAAGCCTTCTATCATCTTTATTATCCATTTAAAAACTCTTGACTAGAAAACGGTACTCTAATCTATTGAATGGAACTTAGGATTCTCACCAATGGAGCTTGATTTTTCTTTTGAATTGCACAATGTGAAACATCTTTATGGGAAGTATGTCTAAGTACGTTAGGTTTGTCTTAGATAGCATTATATGATATCTATTTTATTGATTAAACCACGGGATCTAACAAGCAGTTTTTTCATGATATTGTGGGGGAATACATTCGAAAATGGAGAAATACAAAGCTGTTTGGGATGGAGGATGATATGGGGGGAGAATTCTGGGTTTGGTCCAAAGCAGGATGGAGGCGGGATTGCTTTCACTTCGCGATTGGTGATGATCTCAATCATGCATTTTCTGCACATGCAATTTTTGAGAATTGATGCACTGGAGTCAAAATGGCTAGTAGGCAACCAAAGGCGTGCCTGGACAACGTTAAC